CTGTGTGTATAATGCCATGGAGGCCTGAAGAGGGTGCTGGATACCCTGGAACTGGAGTTACTGAAGGTTGTTAGCCACTATATGGGTGCTGGGAACTAAACCCAGGTCTTCTGCAAGAACAGCCAGTGCTCTTAACTGCTGAGCCATCTCCAGCCATATGTTATTGTTGTTTTGAGACAGGATTGCCCTGTAGCCCCAACTTGCCTGTAACTTGAAATGTAGACTAGGCTGGCCTTGATCTCACAGAAATCTGCCTGCCTCTGCCTCCTGAGTGCTGGGATTAAAGGTTCTCTCCTCTTCTTCCTCTTCTACCTTTTGATTCTCTTCCCTGGATGACTCTCTGAACCTTCATAGAGATATATCTGACGTCTAAGCTTCATGAGCACACTGTGTGACCCCAAACAAAACAGGATAACTGAGGCGGGGGTGGAAGGTGGCAGCCCATGGCCTGTCACCAGGGCTGGGCCTTTCCTTTGGGCTGCAAAGCCAACAAGGCCTGTCCTCCTTGGCTGTAGGAGATCTATGTGGTACTTGCCACCTCTTGTGTTGATCCAAAATCAACTCCTAAGTGGCCTTATCCTGGGTGTGCTCTCAGGGTAAATGATCCTGCTGTTCCATCCTCTCCTATATTCTGAGCTTCACATTCATGCTGATGGGACCTGCAATTTATATTGTGGTTCATAGATGGCTCCTGGTGATCCTGAGGGGGGTCAGAGTGTCAGCTGTGACAGGACAGAGACACAGCTCCTCACTGTCTCTCAGCAGCCCAAGGAGTTCCCCTATACTTTTTAAGGACCTCCACTCAGGAAAACCAGGACTCATGACTTCAATGCAGAAAAGAATTTCAGGAATAGCCAATTTATGAAGCAGGGTTGGGATTTGGTAAAGATATTGTCATATAGGCTTAAGCAGGACAATTACAAGAAAGAGAGGTGGCTAGAAAGTTAAGGCAAACCTGAGAGCATGCTGTAAGCTTCCCAAAGAAGACACTGAATTGTTTTAGCATTCACTCTACTATTTTGGAGGCTCTCAAGTTATAACTCACAAGTTGCTAAGAAACATTTCTCCCCATTTTTCTCTGTCTGTTGATAAGTGAGATAACCAAGGTGATTCCAAGATGCCTTAGATGGAGCTATAATCTGATAAAATGAAACCAAGAAACACTAAGAATTGCACAGGAGGCTTAGTACCTGTCCTTTGCCTAAATGGGTTTCTGGTGAGATTCCAGGAAAATTGCAGGTTTATAGGCAGAAAGGAAAAAGGCCTTAAGCAGCTGTTAACTGTGCTGGAATTCTTACTTTCCCAACCCCATCCCCAGCTGGAGGCTTCAACTGGATTCAGGGTGAGGGGCTTCCACTTCTAATGTCCCCCAAACTTTCTACCCTGCCTTGGGAGGTACAGTATGGCCATCAGGTGGAGAATTCCCATGGCCTCCATCCTTAAAAGTATCTTCTCTGCACTGTGTGTTCCCATCTCATTTATCTGCACTGCTCTCTTCCATTGTGTCCTCCATGTTGACCTCGAATGCCATGAGAATTACTGAGGTCTCTTTTTATGTATTTTAAAAGCTTTTTATCTAAGCCGCTGCTGTTTTCGAAAAGAGTTGTCCTACCCTGACCGGTGTTTTCCTCAGTGGACAAGGAGGCCTCTAGCTCCCTCTCCAAAGATGGCGAACTCTTTTCATTGGATGGAAAGTGTGGATTCAAGGAATGGATATCCGCAGCCAGTCAGTGTGAACAACCTTCAACAGCCTTCCCTGGAGCCAGCTGGGGCCTCGTTTTGCCTTGGTCTGAAAGAGATTTTTGTTTTCTGGTGAGAACAACTCCAGCCTGACCTGGCGCAGGAGTACCAACCCTTTCATGTGACAGGCCGGAATGGAGTGATGTAGGCCTGCCAGCAACCAGCCCTCCCCTGCAGTTCTGGGAGTCAAAGTAGCGATTTGCATATTCCCCCATTCATCCTGTCCTTGAAAAGAAGGTCTGAGTTCCCAGTGGCCCAGCTCTGCTAGGGGCTGGCTACTTGAGCCCTGTATTAACCCTCTAGGCCTTCTCACTGGCAGACAGTAGGACTCTACTGCTGTGGGCCTAGAGACTAAGGTTGCAGCTGCTGTGCATTCCTGATCTCCAGAGTGCTGAGGCAGGAGGCGGTAGACTCCTATGGACCAGCATTGTCTTCTGCTGAACTGGGGGAAATTCCCGTCTATTCCTTCCTGGGGCAGCCAGAAAATATAGTTACTTATCTTTGCCAGAAAATGTACCTTGAACCAAAGGCAAGACTGATTCCTTGTTTAATGTTTCCGCAACACACACACACACACACACACACACACGCACGCACGCACGCACACACGCACACACGCACGCACACCCTAGAATCTTGGAGATAGAAGCCATATGGGCTCCAGGCTGCAACAGTGGAACCCACACAGAGATAACTTGTCTTGGGCACTTCTGCGTCCCCCGACCTCAGGGTACTTAATAGCAGTCAGTCGGGTGAACCTGCGGATGACACAGTGCCAGCTATAGGCGCTCACCTTCTGCAGCCAACCTTGGCTTCTTGCTCTGGTCCTTGGTGCAGACAGGCCTGTGTTTTCTCTGCACTGTGACTTTATCTCAGAGTCTGTAAAAAGACACTGTGTTTCCATGCTTGCCTCTGTTCTCAAGGCTACTGGTATTTTTGAGTCTTTGGACATGCAGTTTGAACCTGGTTCCTGACAATCATCAAGAATGTGTTGCCATGGTCTCTAGCTGGGGTTTGAGCTGATTGAGATTCTTGAGAGGCACTATCCTGAGGATGACAGTGAAGGTCAGTGAAGACAGACAACGGAGACAGAGTCATGATGAGTTTGGGTAGCCAGAGAAGCTGGTAGTCACCGTCAACCTCAGTTGGGCCTTTCTGCATGTAAGGAACTTCATTCAACCCTTACAGGAAAGCTATATTCAAGCTCCCCAGGGAGCTCGGGGGTGAGTCACTTGGTCACTCAGCAACCCTGTGTCATGGGTCCCTATCTCATGGGGGTTGTTCCCTGGGTCTCTCCTGGCAATTCCTGAGTTGGGAAGATCCTTAGCCCCATTCAGTCATCTAGTCATCTGTGGCTTCATTTAATTCATCGAATTAAGGCTCAAGAGGAAAATGAAGAGCCAGCCCGTCTCTCACACAGACGAGCTTAAACCCGTGTTCAGGTGAAGAAGTTGTTGAACTTAGTGGGGTCTCTGCAGGTCAGGGTTGAACAGATGTGGTGGTGAGATCTGGAATTTTCTTACCTTGGCAACTGGGCCACATACTTCCTGGGGCAGAACTAGTCCCCCAGCTCCATGCCCCTGGCATCTCACATAGTTTTCTGCCCACCAGGACTCTGGTTGTGGCCACTGAATTTCCTGCCCCTGCAGCTTCTCTGAGAAGTTTACAGGAGACTTTTGTCTTCTTGAAAGGGATCTCTGAAGATATTTGGAGAAAAGTAGAGGAGGGCCGGCTAGGTGGCTCAGTGGGTAAAGACACTTGCTACCGAGCCCAATGACCTGAGTTTGATCCCTAGAACCCACATGGTGGAAGAAAAAGACTGACTCCTGTAAGTTGTCCTCTGACTTCCACATGCATACATGGCACAAACATAAACACACACACACATACACACACACACACACACACACACACACACACACACACACACACACAGAGTAAATGTAATAAAGTGGGGTTTGCGGGGGAGGGGTATAAATTAGAGTACCCACCAAGGAAAGGACTGTGTGGACATAAGGCAGATCTAATGATCAGGGAAGGTTGGGGGATGCTGAGACAAGTTCCATAAGGCTACAGCAGAAAGATCTCCTCGTGACCTGCCTCAAATGGTGGGGTGAGCAACGGTTAAGTATTATTAGCCCCATGGGAGGTGTTGCCATCCTGTGGACTCTAAAATGCCAGGCAGGTTGGACAAACAGCCCTAAAGTAGGAAGTTGGAGCCTTAGACCATGTCCTGGTATGGTTCAGGGGGTATGAATTTTGGTGGGCATGGCCTGTTGATGGGAACAGGGGAATGCTCTCTGAAGTCCCTAGTATGAGGTGCCTGAGGTTTGGTGGTGAGCTGGTTCCCATGGCCTGATCTGATCTCTTCTGCCTACTGCATGCACAGCCTCATGTCAGCCATGGAGGTGGGAATGCAAAGACACAGAATTTGGGGTAAAAAATATAGAGAAGCAACCAGTCTCCTCCCCTTCCCAAATACCCTGTGGAAGCAGATCTCAGAAGAGACCCTGGGCTCTCCCTAGGAATCCCTAGACCCCTATGTCCATCTGCACAGATGCTGTCGGAGGTCAGTGCTCAGCTTACATTCTAGCAGGAGAGAGTGTGGATTCTGGCTACAGAGTTGGCTACACCTCAGGAGACCGTGTCTCTTGGGCAAGAGTGATAGGGTACTGCATGGCTGTTTTGGCATCTCAAAGAAAAGATGGTGTTTCCTTGAGCTTCTGACCACTCCGGAGTACCCCCCAAGGAGATAGTTTGTTTGACACTGCCTAGTTTCTTTTTTCTCCCCACAAGGACAGTGTGACCTTGTGGGGCTGAGGAATAGGGGTGGTCCAGGAGAGGCCAGAAGCAGAGTTACCCCAGGAATGGCACAGTCCTCCCTCAGCCCCAGGGACCTGGCATCTACACCTCAACTCCCCACTACTTCCCACACCCCACATTGCATGCCGCACAGGTTCCCGATCGAGGCTGATGCCCCTGGTCCTCAACCAGTGTCTCAGATACCCATGTAAAGAGGTTTTGTCCTGTGAGAACCCGTGGCCAACTCCCCTCTAGAACTGAAGACAATGTGGGGTCAGGGAGGGCAGAGGGACCTGGGCTGAGGCCCTGGGAGGCTGGCAGAGTGAGGGTTAAAGCAGGGTTGCTTGGCTCCAAGTTGGTTTGAGCTAGTACCGCCCCATGTGCAAATGAAGGGGGGCCAGTGGGGGCCTTGAGGGGCCAGCAGCTCCTCGCAGAGCTGCTCTATGCCCTGGTCCCTGCCAGCCTGCTCTCACAGCCACCGGGGAACCTTTGTCACCACAGCTAACTCCTCTACCACCACTCGGCTTCTCAGAGCAGACGGCTGTTGCCATCAGCTGTCCCCAGGGACAGGGCCTTCACCATTTTTGTGCTTTGATCAAGATGTGGCAACCTCTTTCCCTGGGCCCCACAGGCCCTAGAAAGGGAGTCTGGTTCTAGTGGGACCAGCTCAGTCACCTCGTCAGTGCCAGGAGCCTGCTGGAAAGGTAGGGTGTGAATGTAGCTCCTTCTACACATTGTCTTTGAGACTCTTTGGCTGGCAAAGAGATGAAATAACGGCTTCCACTAACTACTCTGCACTGTTTCCCTTGCTGTGAGCCTGTTATCCTACTCGCTGTCCACAATCGTCTTTGAGAAGAGGCCCAGAGGGGTTCAGTGACTTTCCCAAGGCCACACAGCTGTCAAGAGTCTGAGTCAGAATTTGGAGCCAGGTTAGTACGGCACTGGAATCCACCTTCAGAGCCCTTCCCTAACTTGTTTACTAGAGTGCCACCCCTGGGGCCTCGGCAGGGTTGTGATTTTCTTTTTTTAGAGCTCTCTAGTGAAGGGTGAAATGATTCCCTATTGATTTGATGTCCTGGTTTGCATTGTGCCACCATCCCTGATGGACTCTGAGGTTTGCAAAGGCCCCAGACCCTGCTAGAAGACCCTCAGCCCAGGTCAATGTGGAGAGAAGCTAGGGTGATTCTAAGGAGATCTAAGAGAAGATTCAGAGGGCTGTGGCAGGCTCTACCAGCTCGCTGAGTGTGGACTCGTGGTCCTAAGGTAGCAGGAAGCCAGATAAGGTTTTTGAGTAATAGCTTGGCAGAGTCGCGTCTGTGTGACAGGAAATTAACTTTGGTACAAATGTAATCACAGGAGATGTATAAAAAGACTGATGTGGGAATCTGGGTTGCACTTGGTAGTTGGAGCAGCTCAGGGCTTTGGGGTGGAGGAGTAATCAGGTTTGAGAGATGCAGTCCTTCCACACAGAAGCACCCTGTGACAGCCAAGTGCTGGGATGGAAGGCAGAGCCAGCAGAGGGGCCTCAGGACCATTTTCACAGGGTCTGTGGTTTGGGTGCTTCTCACCTGACACCTCATCACTATGGAGCCAACATGCTTCCTCCCATGGCCCCCTTTGTCCTGTTCTCTCCCATCCTTGATCATAAGGGCCATGGCTTTGCCACTCACCCTCCATGTGACCTGAAATCAGCACAGGACATGGATGAATTGGTGGGAAGAAGTCCCAGGGCCTCTAGCCTGGGCCACCACTTGGTATTCCAAATGGGTCTGTGCTAGAGGAAAAGGCTTTGGAGGAGGCTATTTTTTACTGAAGTCTGGGTCCTCCTGCCAGGTGAATATTTACAAACACTCCCAGCAGCTCACTTGGCAACAGCAGTACCACTGGTCCCCTGGGGTACCATCTGTATACCTCTGCCTGCCATGGCTGCTGCAACCGGAAGAGCCCCCGGGACATGGAAGGAGGCAGCTGGGCTGGAACTCTGGGGACCACCCCCATCCCCGGTCAGGTAACAGAGATAAGGTCAGAGGAGGCCAAGGCCCCAAGAAAAACTTAAAGTAGACCAATCTCCCAGGCCTAGTCTCTGCCCTCCCCTCCCACATGCCAAGGGCTTGATGGTGTGGGCTGGCTCAGAGGCTAGTGTCCTCAGAGGACCTGGACTCTGGCTCTGCCCGGTAGTGGTTCCCACGTCTGAAAGGAATCTCAGGGCAAAAGCAAATGCTTCTGACTGTCCGAGGAAGTCAGTGAAGTTGGAAATATGGAGCTCCTTGGTTGCCAAGGCTAAGTGTGGTCCCAGTCTTGAGGCCAAAGGAGCTGCACCCACTGCAGATGCCTTCTTGGGGTGGGCACTCCCCTGAGGAACAGTGGCCAGCAAAGTCCTTCATCTATACCCCCTCGTGGCCCCAGGTGGGAGGAAAAGGACACAGCCTGGAGAGGATGGCAGATTCTTAATGAAAGGTCAGGGGAGCCCATCCATGGTGTGTGCAGAGTGACCCCACCAGCTGACCCCATGTCCAGACTCTGATGGCCCTGCATGTCCTCCCTACCACCCAAGACCTGGGCCTGGGCCCTTCTGAACAGGCAAGAGCTGCTTCTATGTGCTCAGCACTACTGCAACCAAGAGGAGGATTGTGGGAGTGGGTCCAGTGTTGGCAGGGGTGGGCGGCCACACAGGACAACTGGATGTTGACTGTGTCCCTCACTCACCGAAACAGCCTGTGTTCCACTTCCTTACAGTAAGGGGATGGAGGCTTTAGTGAGGACCAAACACTATGGTGTGTAGGAAAGGTTTTCCTAGGGATCAATAATTCCAGAAATCTAAACAAGCCCACTTTCCACTCCATGGAGGATTGATGGTAACAGAAGCTCAGTCTATCCCAGAAGCCAGCCTTACGGACTTGCAGTGCTGACCTTTGTACAGGATTTCTTGGGCTCAAGACTTTATTATCTGAACAGAATATGCCGTTCCTCAAGCGTCCCAGCCTCCAGCCTCTGTATTTGCTTCCCTTGCCCAGAACACTCCTTTTCATCCTTCAGTTTCCACAGCTATGTCACTTTCTGCCTTGTCATAGCTGAGTCAGGCACCTCCTCTGCCTTCTTCTGTCTGATCACACCCTGGTCTGCCCGACAATACTGAGTTGGTGAAAGCCAGGGCCCTGTGAGGGTTGCTGGATGCACAGTGGGGGGACGACAAAGCTAGCATTGCACCCTATGCCTCAGAATGCCTACTTTGTGCCACAGTTCAGGCTTTGTGAGCAACTGCCAAGGGCCAACGACTCTGGTGATCCTTTAACATTTCTTTTTGGTGGTGGTGGTAGTGGTTTTTTGGGTGTTTTTTTGGTTTTTTTGTTTTTTAATTTTTTTTGAGACAAGGTCTCTCTGTAGCCCCAGCTGACCTGGAATTTGCTTTGTAGACCAGGCTGGCCTCAAACTCACAGAGATCCTCCTGCCTCTGCCTCCCAAGGGCTGTGATTAAAGCTAGTGTGCACCACCACGCCCCGCTCTTTAGTATTTCTTAAACCATGTAGTGGAGGCCTCAGGGGCTGGGTAGGAGCCCTCAGCTCATAGCCCACCCCAAGACCTGGCAAAAGCATCTAGATTTCCCACTAAGTAGTGAGTCACTCATCTGATATAGCTGAGACTTGGTTTTCCCATCTGCATTGTAGGTAAGTAGATGTTCCAAGAAGGACAACTGGCCACCTGCCCAGAGCCCTCCCTCCCTCAAGAGGTTTTCCTTGGTGAAGTCACTGTGGTCCATAGCTGGATCTCGGCTCTGATGATGAGAACCTTAATTTAATCAATTGACCTGGGGGGAGGGGATCATTCCTTTTGGCATCCTTCCTCATCACTGGTCCAATTTAAAAAGACTAAAACTGGGCTTCAGGGGCCATTGTCCAGAGAGCCCCAGATAAGGGGCTTACGTCCGATACTCCCTAGGAGCACCCACACCTGGGCATTGGTGAGTGTTCCTGGGACTCAGAGAACCTACTGTACATCTGTAAGCCTAAAGTCTTTCTGTAGAGGGATAGGGCTCAGGCCCAACCACCACTACCTAACATATGGACCACCTGGACCAGGCCTGCCTGTAACCCCTTCTCCTTCCTAGGCTAAGCAGCCCCTTCTATATGACAAACACATCTCTTAATTCTGCCAAATGCAATGGGAAGAGCTGTACATACCTGGGTTGTCATGTGCCCATTTTAAAGATGGGGAAGTGGTTCAGAGAGGCTAGTATGCCTAACCATGTGTAGTTTATAAGTAAAGAAGGTACTTGAGCTGAAGAGCTTTCTTCCCTCTGCCTGCAGTGACTTTGCACATCCCTGACCTCGTGCCTGTGTGGCGATGTTACAGTTTGGCACAAATACCATCTACTGGAATTTCAGCAGCTCCCTCCTCCCTTGGAGGTCAAGCAATTGTTTGGCTCCTCTCCATGGCTGCAGAGTTGCTACTGTTGTTTCTCCTTGTTTCCCAGAAAGGGAAACTACTCCACAGCTTGCATGGTGCCAAGGGCCCATGAAGAGGCAGCCTGTAGATGGTATGGGGCAGCCCACTGGGATGGCAGACCTACACATGTCCTGGGAGCATCTTGCTTTGGGTGTTACTAGGCAGTGACACGATGAGGTCCCAGTGTGGATGCCACTATCTGACACCTAACCAATGCTCTGTACCCTTCACGGTCCTGGGCAAGATAGAGAGTCTGGAGTCTAGCAGACTGTGTACCTGCTCTGCCAATACTTCCCCATTTAGCAACTAACAGGCAGGCATGAGCCCACTGGGGTATGCCCTCTTGGAACTAAAGACACTCACCAGTGCTCCTTACCTTATACCACTCACCCTAGGGCATCTTTCATGGCTCCCTGAGGCCTGCTGTATTCACTTAGGCTGTAGTGGGTGAGGGTGCACCTTGGTCACTACTCACAAGATTACAAGAGTTACCTCTAGGACCTCGTCTAGCGCTTTCTTTTCTGAATGTTCGTTGTATTTTTTTTCCACCCCAGCTCCATTAGCTGTGGGTGGGGCCAGCTGTGCTTCTTGGCACCGGTGTGTGGTACTGTAGTCACACATGACCACAGTGGTCATATAATCATCCAACTTACCACCTTTGAGTCATAAGGCCTGAAGGTATCTGTCTGGGGTGGTTCCTCTTCCCACCCTCCCTCAGAGCCAAAGCTTAGGGTTGGGAACTTATAGACAGCAAGTAGAGCCTATGTCCCTCCACCCCACTCATCCTGTGCACAGTGATGGGCACTGCTGCTGCCTGTCCATCTTCTCAATACACCAGGAGCAGACAGAAACAAAGCCCTGTGACCATGGTCACACGGGCCTGAGACCTGAAGTGTTCCACACCCAGAGCTGACCAAACATATTGGCCCCTGGAAAACATGGATGCAGCTGTCAGCCGTGGCCCTGAGCCTGGACATGTGCAGCTCAGGAAAACTGACCAGATGCAGGGCTGTCAGGTGAGAGTGCTAAGTGCTCTGGTTTCTCACCAGAAAGGCCTCTCCAGGTGACTAGCTTCTGGAGTCCACTGTGTTGCACCAGGAGATGGCATGTCTGACAGCTCAGGGCCTGGCTGATGCACCAGGACCCCTCCTCAGCCTGCCTGTCTGGTCCCCTGTCTCGTCCCCTCCCTCATCTGTCTCTTGTCTCCTACAGAGATTGCCCTCTCACTTCTGGAGAAGATGCAGACCCAGGAGATCCTGAGGATACTGCGGCTGCCCGAGCTGGGCGACTTGGGTCAGTTTTTCCGCAGCCTTTCAGCCACCACCCTCTTGAGTGTGGGTGCTCTGGCTGCCATCCTGGCCTACTGGCTCACTCACCGGCCAAAGGCCTTGCAACCACCATGCAACCTCCTGATGCAGTCAGAAGAAGTGGAGGTAAGCAGAGCAGGAACCATCTGATAATGCAAAGTAGTTCTTGGAAGTAGAAGCCAAACATGCTTTGTTGGACCTCAGGTGGCCCAAAGAATCCTGGTGTCCACTGGCAGCTTGCCAGCAATCTCTGCAGCAGCTTTTCGCAGGCTCTCCTGCCAGATGGTCCTTCCATCCCTCCCAGGCACTGTCCCTAAGCAGAGTCTGACCTCAACCTTGAACTTGGCTGATTCATGAGTAGGGGGCTTGGATTATTGGTAGCTCAGTAAGCTAAACAGGTACTCAGGGTTGCCAGGTAAACTCCCTCCCAAGCTTTCTGTACCCAGTCCAGGGAAGGGGAAGGAAGCTAGAGCTGAGCGCCCCCTAGGGCCCCGCCCTGGCACAGCACCTGGCTGCACAGGTGGGTTACCCACAGGGAAGAAGATACTCTGGCCTATGGACAAGAGACGGGTGAGATTTGCTTCTCCATTGAGCTCAGGGAATTTATTTTTGTTCTTTGAAACTATGCTCATTTTCTATACTTCAGTTCTGTTCATTTTGCACAGATAACATATTCTAGTGGCTTATAAGAGAAAAGGCTACATGCTAAGAAGCCACTGCCTTCTACAGCTGGGCTTTCAGTTCTGTTACCAGTTTTGGCCAGCCAGGTACAGATGGAGAGATAGCCCCCACTCCCTGCTTTGTTTGTTTTATGCTTTTTTTAGTCAGGGTCTCAGATGACCTATGCTGACTTCAAATTCTTGATCCTCCTGCCTCCTCCTCCCAGGTGCTAGGATTATAGGTGTGCTCCACCACGCCCAGCCCCCTGCATGTAAATGACATCATGCTACACCCACTTGTGCACCTTGCTTTGCTCTTGACCATACATCTGATGACTATCACCCTAGCAGTGATCTCACCTTGGTGGCAAGGGAGCAGGGTGAGCTAGGGGTCTGGATCCTCAGGGTGTCATCCTAGTAGGAGTGAAGTGTGCAAAGGTGCAGGAACGTCATAGACCGTGTAGCATTTGAGAATTTTGGTTCTTGTTCAGTCTGGGAAGTAGAGAGAGGCTGGAGAGGACCAGCAAAGGGGCAATAAGAATGGGAACGAGAAGTCCTGGGTTCGAGGCCTGGATGTGCCTCCCTGAGTGGTGTGGTTCTTGGCAGCTTCTGAGCTCTGAGCCACAGTGCCACTAAGTCCTCAGTTGGAAAGTGGATGCTCAAAAAACCACCGGCTTCTCAAGCCTGGTAAGGACTAGCAGGACCATGCAGAGAAACCGCTAAGAATAGCTGGGTTTTGGTGAAGCTTGTAATTGTAACTCACCTGGAGAAGTCTTAAGGACCTTCAGGGCAGGCAGTGGGAATTTATTTGGGGTTTTCTGTAGAAAGGCCTGCCGGGTTTGTACTGTAGAAGGGCAGGGTGGCAGGGTGGGTATGAGGAGGCAGCTCTGGGCATCTGGGTTGGAGGTGACAGTGGTCTGGTTGAGCTAAGGATAGGCTCTGGCTCAGTGTGTGAAACCACAAAGTGGGTGACCATGGGAGCTGACTAGAAGTGCGGGGCATGGGACGAAACTAAGGCCACCCTTTCTGGGAAGACTAGCCTTTTTTGACCCTGTGCTGGATAGCTTTAGTGTCAACTTGACACACCTGGGTTGAGGGAACCTCAGTTGGGGAATTTCCTTTATTGGACTGGCCTGTGGCCATGTCTGAGGGGCATCTTCTTGATGAGTGATGTGGGAGGACCCGGCCCACTGTGGGTGGTTCCACCCCTGGGCAGGTGGGCCAGTGTTGCCTAAGAAAGCAGGCTGAGCAGGGGCCAGGGAAACAAGCCAGTAAGCAGCGTTCCTCCATGGCCTGTGCTCCAGCTTCTGCCTCCAGGTTCCTTCCCTGAGTTCCTACCTTGGGCTCCCTGATGAACTGCGACCAGGGAGATGTAAACTGAATAAACCTTTTCCTCCCCAAGTTAGTATTGGTCAGAATATTTTGTCACAGCAATGAAAAGAACAAACCGGAACAGACCCCATCCCTCCGGACCAGAGAAAGTTAATGGCTGTGTGAACTAGGTGAAGGGGACAGGGGCTGGAAGTAAGGAGAGAGAGGCAAGCGGAGCCTGGCACACACGCTGTGTACTCCTTGAGTCACACGTAATTCAGACTCACTTCCCCAGCTTAAAACCAACCCCTGGTTAGCCACTGCCCTCCACCCAAAGTCCAGATCCCCCATTTTGGTCTATGGTCATCTCTGGGCTTCTCTCACCGCATGTCTATCTAGAACTCCATGTTACCCACAGTTCCCCAGTACACCTATGCTCCTACCCCTTGCTTACTACTGCCTGATGCACATTCTGCCTGGAAAACCCCTGCATGTCCATCAAAATCCAGCCAGGTATACCTCCCCAAAACACGAGCACCCACTGTCCCTGGCGCAGTCTCTTGCTGTGTCATGTCTGCTGCACCAACACAAAGCAGATCTGATTGCATGAGCCTCCAGCTTCCCACATGGGTCTTTCTTGAGCCTGGTGCACACAGAACTTTCCACCCCAAACAGTGGAGAGCTGCCTGTGGTTTCACATTTGATGATTTAATCTGTGGTACTAATTTTTCTGTAGACCCAGTGTTCTAAGAACTGGCAGGCTCTGGGCCAACCCTGGGCAACCCAGATAGCACTGTGAGATCAGGCAGAGCTGTGGTACAGGAGAGTTTTGAGTTTGAGGCTTCTGGGAAGGAAGCAGGAACAGACACTTAGATCCTGTCCCTGGCCCCAAAACAAAGGGTCTTTGCTTCTTCTCATGCTGGTTCTGCACTGTTGAGGGCCCGGGGTCTCACTGCCCTCCTGCTTCCCCTGAATCCTTCAGTCCTTTCTTCCCCCTTTCCCCTCCCTGCCATTCGTAGGCTTCTTCTCCTAGGACAGGACCTAATTTAGCACAGTCCTCAGCAGATTCATACTAGCATATCAATGATGCATGATCGCCTTCTTAGCTAAAAAGCTATACACAGCTGGCCTAGGACCCAGCAACAGATGGTGAAGTGCAGGGCACCTTGGCTGGTTGATCCTTGCAGAATGTGAGTCAGTTATCACTTGGCATCAAAAAATTATGGATGTTCTGTGTATGTGGACCCTGGTGCACAAATGCTATGTGTGTGTCAGTTGTATGTGTATGAGGTACTGGTACTCTGGGCCTCGGTGCATTAGTCAATTTTTTGAGTGTAGTTGTATATAGAACAGTTGTGTACAGTAGCGGTGTGAATAGACCATAAGTGTGAACACCTCCTGGCCTCAGCTGTAAGGACCAGGAGTACATCCGAGCTGTGTAGGGCTCTGCACACTCCAGGACCCACTCCTAATGTCCCTATCTGCCTCATCTAAGTTCTCTGGTGTGCTTGGCTTCCAGGACAGTGGTGGAGCCCGGCGATCTGTGATCGGAGGTAGCCCTCAGTTGCTTACCCACTACTACGATGATGCCCGGACCATGTACCAGGTGTTCCGCCGTGGGCTTAGTATCTCAGGTAAGAAGGGTTATATGGAAAGGTGTGTTATATGGCGGGCATTGGGAAGTTGCCCAGTATGGTACCAAGGACACAACAGGGCCCAGAACAGCAGAAAGTCTTGGCCCTCTTTCCACCAGAGAGGTGACTGACTTATATGGCCCAGGGCTGACCTCAGCTTTACTTTGGCTCTTCCTGTTGATTGCCTAATGTCTGGCCCTGTACTCCATACACCTCCATGGGCAGCCCCTGGGGAGCCTGGAGCTGTCAGGCCACACTGTCATGCATGGTTTTTGTTAAGGTTCAGATAGCCCCACCCCTTCACCAACAGGGTCTCAAGGACTTCTCAAGCTCCTGAGAAAAGGGAACCTAGCTAATAAGCACCTTGGTCTTTGAAGTCAAGAGAAGCAGACTTTTCCCCACTGGCCAACACAGCAGGCTTCCCCTTTGATCTCTAAAAAGAACAGGTTTTAATAATCCTGCTCTCCCACTTCCCCCTGCCCAACTTTAAAAAAAAAAAATACATCTTCCTACCTTCTGCAGGAAGCAAGAAGCCTCCCCCTTTAAAAGACCCCAGCTTACAACCTGGGGCAGACATTTTCCCTGCCCGGGAGGGAATCTGTCCCATGTGTTTCTTTGTTAATAAACTCTGCTTTCTCCTGATCAATACGGCTACTTTTTACCTATTGGTTTTGAACCTGAACCTCCAGGATGCCTCAGCAGCCCCAGTGAATGAGGCAGAGGGAGTGGTCACAGAGAAGCAGCCTGCCACCTTTTCCCAGTGCACCCCCCAGGTCTCTATGTCTATTTAATTGTTCTATAGGAACTGCCACATAGTCATGGTGAGGAATGGATACCACATTCATTATCCCAGTCCTGGCCTCCCTAGTCCCTGGGGAGAAGCCCTATTTGCATGCTTTAGGCATTCTTGGCCCAAGGCAGCTAAGACCCAGGGGCATCCACTGCATATGACATCCTGTCCTTGCCCACCAGTAAATCCACCCACCTCCCTCCCTGTATAAGGCTTGCTTGTCTCTCTTTAGGGAACGGGCCCTGCCTTGGCTTCCGGAAACCTGAGCAGCCTTACCAGTGGCTGTCCTACCAAGAGGTGAGTGATTGAAGACAGGTCCCATCCTGTCCACCCCTGCAGTCCCAGCACCCTGTGAAGTGGGGGGAGGTTCAGGGGAACCCAACTGGATTTCAGGAAGTCATTTTTAGAATTAATTTTTTTTTTTTTTTGTCTTTTTGAGACAGGGTCTCCCTGTAGCTCCAGCTGTCCTGGAACTCACCATGTAGACCAGGCTGGCCTCAAACTCACAAAAATCCACCTGCCTCTGCCTCCTGAGTGCTGGGATTAAAGGTGTGCACCACCACACCCAGTTTAGAGTTAATTTTTATGCTTAAAAGTTTTGTATGTTGGGACTGGAGAGATGGCGGACCCGGGTTCAATTCCCAGCACCCACATGTCAGCTATGAATCGTCCTTAACTCCAGTGTCAGGGGAATCTGAAGCCCTCTTTGGACCTCCGCGTCGGGATTGCACAACACGGGTGCACTCACATACATGCAGGCAATACACTCATGCACATAAAATAAAAATAATAAATAAAATATTTTTAAAAGTTTTGTTGCTGGGCTTGGTGGCGCACACCTTTAATCCCAGCACTCAGGAGGCAGAGGCAGGCGGATTTTTGTGAGTTTGAGGCCAGACTGGTCTACATGGTGAGTTCCGGGACAGCTGGGGCTACAAGGAGACCCTGTCTCAAAAAGACAAAAAAAAATGTTTTGTATGTTGATATTGAACCCAAGAAAATACACTAATATGAATTCAATGTCTGACTTATCTGAACAAGTATAACAAACTATGTTTAGAAAAAATATATAGATAGTGACAACCAATTCAGATGTTGTCGGTGATAAAAATAAATATTTCAAATGTGATAAAAATGAAATGAAGTAGCGAAAATAAAATAAAATGGACTAAGACTTACAAATATATGTGTGATATTAAAAAGAATTTTGTTGCAGCAATTATATTAAAATCTTTGGAGAAATTTATTATGTTGGAAAATTATCTCACTTGAAGCCTGGTGTATGATGCCTACAAAATTCTCTTTTCTAGAAAAAATATTATTTTTATTTTACATGTATGACTGTATTGCTTGCATGTATGTAAGTGCACCCATGTCATGAAATGCCCTCAGAAGTCAGAAGAGGGCATCGGATCCCCTGGAACTGGAGTTAAGGATGGTAGTTAGTTGCCATGTGGGTTCTGGGAATCGAACCCAGGTCCTTTGCAAGAGCAGCCAGTGCTCTTAACCACTGAGCCATCTCAACTCTCCCCCTCTCTCTACCTCTCTCGCCCTCTCTCTTAGTGTACTTCTCTTCTAATTCCTTGACAGTTTCATACAGGTATATATAATGTATAAGGTGTATTGAGTCATTCCCACCTCTCATTAATCCCTGTCCCCCATCTCCCCTCCCTCTGAACCCCTTCTTGTCAACAAGTCACAAGTTACCCTCTACTTTCATGTCTTTTTTGTGTGTGTGACCCACTGAACTTAATCAGGATTGGTGGCATAAGCATGGGCTGGGAGTTATTTACAGGAGAATGGGCAACTCATCAGTGGCTACACCACTGAAGAGAATGACTTCCCCTCCCCCAGCAGCCACTGCTGCCTTTAGCTCCTCAGGGAGGGGTGGGACATCCATCATGGCTGCCCCTCTTCTATCCATGATGTAATGCTGATGAGTGGAAGAGGGGTTGCTTTTTATTTTTCTGGCCTTCCTGCCATACTCCCAGGCTGCAGCCCTGAGGCGGACTTCCAGCATGCCTGATAGGAAGTCAGGAAGATCAGACTTGTAAGAAAGCTGTTTGGGGATCCCCTGCTGAAGACTCCTTTCTCTACCACCTCCCCACATCCGTGTGCAGGTGGCCAACAGAGCGGAATACCTGGGGTCGGGACTTCTCCAGCACAACTGTAAAGTGGGCACAGAGCAGTTCATTGGTGTTTTTGCCCAGAATCGGCCAGAGGTGAGCATCTGTCTGACTGGCTTCAGAAATGGCAATGGAGTAGAGGTTGGAAGAGTCCAGCTCCCACTTGTGGTAGGGCCTGGGATGAGAGGAAAAAGTTGAGACCCAGGGCCATGACACTATCCCCTCATCCCCAGCTCTGCCCTGCATCAGGAGCGATGACCCATCCAAATTCCATCCCCATCACACACACCTGGCTCCACAGAGCCAAAGGGGAGGAAAGTCATGAGGATGAGGCTTATGCAGGGTCAGGCAGCTGGTCTGGGGCTGTGTAGATGTGCAATACTGGAGTTATAGACATATAGCAAGCATGGTCTAAAGGGCTTTGGGTGACCAGCCATGCCCACCAGCCTTGCCAACATGCAGAGGGTCAAATGTAGGAGTGGTCATCTGGACCTATGGCAGCTGTCTTACCTCCTTTCCCCACACTCCGAACTTGTGTTTCCATAGTGGATCATTGCAGAGTTGGCTTGCTACACGTACTCCATGGTGGTGGTCCCACTTTACGACACCCTGGGCCCAGGGGCTATCCAATACATCATCAATACAGGTGAGCCCCTACCTCCATGCCCTCCCACATGGACAACCAGCCCTCAGCCCCTAGCTCTCATTAGATCACACTGATTTGTTGGACATCCATAATAGGCACTTTATTTCTGCCCTCAGAAAATATTAGGGATTAACCAAATGTGGTGGTGTATATCTGAAATCCCAGCACTTGGGAGGTAGTGGCTTGAGGATCAGGAGTTCAAAGTCATCTTTTGTTGCATAGTAAGTTAAAGACCAGCCTGAGCTCCATGAAACCCTATGTAAACTAATAAACAAAACACCAGGGGCTTACCTGATGACCTCTCACTTGGCTTCCTGAGTCTTAGCTGTCCCCATTCAGGCTGCTCCTTAAGGCTCCTTCCACAGATTGATGAAGCCAAGAAGAGCCTCTACACCCACCTCCAAGAAGCTGTGACCTCTAAGGTTCCCAGTGGCTTGGCATCATTGCTGGGGATGGTAAATATTCCAGGGAAACCTGGAATCATGGGGGGCTGTCTGAAGCAAAGATGGGCTGTCAGTTCCAGGTTATACCCTGACCTTCTGCCCTTGACTCCACCCAGGACCCATGACACACTTCTTTGGACATGTTTCATGGCCCCCAGAGCTTGTCGTATACATTTATTTACACACAAGCTGGTCCAGCAGTCTGGCATTTGCCTACTACTCAGCCCCAGCCTCTGCCTCTATAACCTGATTCTCCCCTTTGGCCCCTGCAGCAGACATCTTCGTGGTGATTGTGGATAAGCCTCAGAAGGCTGTGCTTCTTCTGGAGCACGTGGAGAGGAAAGAGACACCAGGGCTCAAGCTGATCATCCTCATGGAACCACTTGAGGACACCCTGAAAGAGAGAGGACAGAAATGCGGGGTGGACATCAAGTCCATGCAGGCTGTAGAAGTGAGCATCTGCATCTGGGCTGTTTGCTGGGCCACAGTTGGTCAGCAGCCAAGTCAGGGCTGCTAGTCACTCACCCCTCTCATGTCCTAGGGTGGCTGTTCTGGGCCCTAGGGTGGCTGTTCTGGGCCCTGTTCTGATGCATCAGTGTTGAGGCAAGGCTTTGAAAAGAATGGTGGGGGAGGCCTGGGGTTAGTGCTCACACCCTCTAAACCAAGACGTTGAGGCTGGTCCAGCAAACAGTCCCAGGCACCAACAGATGGATGATGGTACCAGCCTGACAGACATTCACAAGATCTCTGAAGCTTTCTGACTTGTAGAAAATGTCAGCCTGGGTGGGCCCCAAAGGACTGGGAAGTTCAGGAGTCTGGGAAAGTTCTTGTTAAGGGGACCCAGACCCCCAGCAACCAACAGAATTATTTTTTCTGTACATAGCCACCCCAGAAACACCAGGTTAGAGTGATGCAGAGCATCCCGGTCTCCAGGGCCTCAGGCTCACCCAGTAGCAACACACTCCATTATGCTGCTCTGGATGAAGACCCCTGGGTCCTCCAGTTGACCTGCCTCCCTGTCTGTTCTTCCTGCACTCATGAGACCTGTGCACTTGTAAACGTCTATGACATTAGCCCACACCTGTACTGGCAGCCTCCCCTCTACTGTGCCCCAGCACTGACTGTTCATCCAGAAGCCTAGGTTACCAAGCCACTCTTTTGTATTCATTGCCGAGCATGTCCAAAACTCGGTGGCATGTGTACTGTGCCTTGCTTCCCCTGGGCGCCAGGCTTCCTGCCTAACCTATGGAGTGGGCCTGGGACACCCCCCCCCAGCATCCTCCCACTCAGGAGCCTCAGGCTAGACCGATGTCGAGGAGGGGCCACTCAGGTGGCATCTGCCACCATAGCCCGTGGGATCCCAAACCCTGTGCTTAATGCAAGAGCCAAGCTTACTGTTCTGGGTCCATGTTGATTTTTTTTTTTTTTAATTTATGAGAACTTGTGAGCATCTTTAAAATAGTATTTTCTTATTTCAGGACCATGGCCAAGAGAATCACTGTGCCCCTGTGGTAAGCTGACTTCCCGGCAGGCCTCAGTTGAGCAAGACAGTGGGTAGGCCTATCTTCTGAGAGTCCCTCACTGTGCACAGGGCTCAGTAGAGAGGCCAGCAAGTACCTCCATGCTAATAACCTCGGGAATGCCTGCTCAGCCACCAGGATCGCTGTGGGCCAAGGACCCAGGGAAGAACTGAGAATAGGAGTCGGATATTGGGAGAAAGACAAAATACCGACCTGTCCTGGCCTCCCCCAGTTCTCCTAACTTTTTCATGGGGAAATACTTTTTCCCCTTGAATGTCGTGAACCCCTCAGAGTATGAGATGACAGAAGAAGCCACACAGAGACAGACGGGTACACAGAGAAGTGAACCCCTGGCCCCATGGCCTTATGGCACCTGCTGTCTTTGTTCATCTTTTTTTTATATATGTGTGTGTAGTATGTGTATGTATGTGCATATGTGTGTGCTTGTAGAGGACAGACAACAGCTCAACCGTTGTTCCTCAGGCACCATTTTTTTGAGACATGGCTTCTCACTGGCCTAGAGCTTACCAAGTAGACTTGGCAGGCTTGCTAGGGAACCCCAAGGATCTGCCTGTCTCTGCTTCCCCAGCGCTGGGATTGCAAGCACCTGCCACTGTGCTGGCCTTTGCTTTGTTCATCTCTGCTTTATGAACTTTTCTGGGTGCCATTCCATGTGGTCCTGCCCAAGGTTGGGGAGCAGTGAGGGTTGCTGTCTCCTGACCTGGGCACCAAGGAGAGGTTTCTAAGGTCTCTGGCTTCTAAGCCCCTTCCAACTTAGCTTTCCTACTCCCTCACTACCCCTGGTGAGCTTTCTCATACACAAGCCTAAACAGGTCATAGTCCTGATTCCCAGAGCCGTCCACCGGTAGCGTGGGTATTTGCCCGTCTCTCCAGCACCAGGCTTGGCCTCAGAGAACTGCTTCCTGATCCTTTGACAGACCACTCCCAGAGTCTTCTTTCATCTAGAGAAATCTTGCTCAACCTTCCATCTCATTACACATGTTACCTCTTTGGGAAGCCATTTTCTGTGTGTATACAGACTGTCTGGGCTCCTCCTGTGACCCCAGGGCCATGGGCCCAGTGCTAGAGCCAGGACCTGAGGCAGAGCCACGGATGCTGTGAACAGCTCAACTCCTGAGCCACATGTGTGCTGCCAAGACTACAGACATTTTGGGGATGGGGTGGGAAGGAGAGAGAGAAGGTGGCCATCCCTCCTAGAAGTATGAGGTCTTTGGCTTTTGCAGCCTAACTCCATGCTGGAGAACTTTGCAGGCTGGAGTACAGGGAAATGGGATAGGACATGAAGTTGGTGGGACACACCTGTGTCCACACACTGTTTGTCCTTCCCCTTTCCTGAGAGCTTTCCTGGCCCCCTTTCAGACCGCAGCACGTAAGGGTATGTACCCAGGTCCAACACATGTCCACATCTACATCACCTACTACAGTACACATGTGAGGCAGCATGATGGACAGGGGCCAGCATGTTGGGTTCCAGCAGATCTCACTGGATCTCCTTAACACACATGTATTCTCACCTCCACAGCCCCCGCAGCCCGAAGACCTCTCCATTGTGTGTTTCACAAGTGGCACGACAGGTAAGCAGAGGCCCCAGATCACCAGCCATGGCCACTTGCCCTTTTCTTAGATGCCTGGCCAGAGACTTCAAGAGTCTCTTGTGCCCTTTGTGCATATGCTGAGCTTGTCCTGGGCTTTTCCAGCTCCAGAGACTGGTTGCCTTCTGATGGTGCCAGTACCCACACTGGACAGGAGTGGCCAATACAGACAGACAACGTGGACTGGGAGGTGCAGGAGGGCTCTCTACACTTCCTAGAGTGGGGTCAGTAGAGCCTAGGCAGTGGGCCACAAGTTGGAGGATGGACTTAGTTCATAAGGGGGATTGTTTCTTTTTGGGTAATAGCTTTCCCTTCTGTTTTCTACTCCTGTCTGGCCTTTGTGTCAGGGATCAGAGAAGGAGTACAGGGTCAAAGTTCCATCTATGTCACTTGCTAGAGTACTATAAGCTAGTCTGTCATCACTGCCTTCAATTCCTCACCTGGGAGGAGGGTGGTTAAAAGAGCCAAACAGGAGGTGGGGTGGTATATGCAAGGGCAGCCATGGGCAAAAGGAAGAGGACATAGTAAGAAACAACACAGTCCATCACTGGTACTGAATTATGGAACACAGCTTCCTGAAGCAGGGCCGTGGCACAGACACTGCGCCTTGCAGTCTACAGCCCTGTCCCCTGCTTTCACTGTGCCACTGGTACCTCAGCACAGTCTGTGTGGGCTGTGGAGTCTAAACCAGAGCTGCTCCAGGGGACACCAGTCAACACCAGGACTGATGCCCTGCTCTTTAAACTCCCTGCCCAGTGTTCTTCCCATTGCTTTCTCTCCATCTCATCTGGTGACTTAGGAAGACATATGTTTCACCCTGAATGGGCAAGAAGTTCCCAGCCTTCTATTTCTGACCAAGGACTGGCTGTCCGCATGATAGCTCTTAAAGGACAGGAGGCCTGGGATTCCCACACCTTTCACAGGAATGGCCTACAAGGCATTTGGGACACCCCTGATCAGCCTGCCATGCCACTGAATCTTGAGGAGCTTGGCTTTATCCAAAGAAGATGGATTCTTGCCATTAATTTAATTCAAGTGGGTTTCAAGACCTCTACTTTTCGGAGAATAATACAGCCCTCACTCTCCAGAGCCAGCCCAGAATTTTTTAAATGCCCTTCAAGCTTATCCCTCCCTGCCTCCCCCCCCCCACCTTTTTTGTTTGTTTGTTTGTTTGAGACAGGGTTTCCCTGTAGCCCCAGCTGGCCTGGAATTTGCAATGTAGACCAGGCTCGTCCCAATCTCACAGAGATCTACCTGCCTTTGCTTCCTGAGTGCTGGGATTAAAGACATGCACCACCACAAACATGTTGCTTTTAAAATAGAGCTTCCCGAAGTCTTTTTGTCATTGAGTTTCACAGCATGAGTTTTCGGTGATACAGATTGGGGGAGCAGGTCATTGGTATGGCTTTTAGCTTTGGACACTGCCTTCTAAGAGTGACTTCAGCTTTCAGTGGGTTACTTGGTCACCAATGCTACCCCTTTATCTGGAAAAATACTTAATGCCACTTAAGTGTACTGTTGGCTAAGTAGAAGGCACAGCCATCACATCCAGTGCCTTTCAGACTGTGAACTCACATGGAAAGCCAAACTGTCCTTTCCAGGCCCTACAGACGACCACAACACGCATGCAGGCTGGAAAAATGGGTGTGATTTAATAATGTCCCAGGCATTCTGCACCAAAAGCTGTGGCCAGTGCTGGGCAGAGCTCAGACAGCAAGCCAGCCTCTGGCCTGATATCACCTCACTGGGCCACATACTTGGACTCCCTTGGCTTTAGGCTAAGCCTGTGTTGTGCCTCTTGCATTCATTGGCTTGTCAGCACGTCAGCCACACTTGTCCTCAGCGTCACAGCCCAGCCACAGCTTCCCTTGTATGCCGAGTGTCTGGCTTTCAGCATCTCTGAGGCCATGCTGTTCTTTCAGTGGGGAAATAATAGAAAATATGATCTGACCCTGATATTTGGCAGGATCTTCCAGGAAGATTTCCTTCTAGCCTGCAATGGAAACCTAGACTCAGCCAGTGCTTTGGAGCCCCTAGTCAGGCCAGAAGAGAACAGAATCTGTCGGCACTGTCTGTAGCCAAGTTGTACCGGGGTACTGTAAAAGCACCCGTTAGTGCTCCTTAGGCACCTCAGGACTCCTGTATTGTATAGCTTTGGAATTATGTGACCTGTTTTCAGCCTTGGTGTCTTTGAATAGTGAAAGAATACATTTCATGCAAAGAGGATCAGCTTGTGAGCAGGAGTTGAGTGACAGACAGATGAGCTATGGACAGACGGTCTCTTGCTGCTGAGACATTGGGGGCCTGTGTGGCAGCGCCTCTCAACGACTTTGTACCAGCAAACAAAAATGCTCTATCTCAGGTTTAAAAGACATGCTGCTAAAGGCATTGGCTTGTCTTGAATCAAAAGCAGGCAGAGCCTCCCCCTGCTTCACCTCCCACCTGCTAGTGGCCTTGTAGTCCATTCCCAAAATCTGCAACCATCAATCATATCTTAATCCTTTGGGATCATCATAGAGATGACCTATGGAAATCATCTGAACACTTCTGGGAATATTTCTAACATTCTGTAGGCCATTTATAAAATGGCATTTGAATCTGCAAGAGAGTTTGTGTTTCTAAAAGGTATGAACTTTTGGCATTATGCCAAAGGAAGAAAAGGACTGCTTTAGTGGTCAGAATCCAGTTGGGGCCTCAGCTGAGGAGGAAGAGCAGAGTTCTTGTTGATGAAGACTACTTCCTCTCCAGATCCTGAGACCTTCCACCCCAAGTTTATGTTAAGTGTGAGCAGGTCAGCCAGCACCACAAATCTACAGCTCTGTGGCACAGGGTCCATTTTGTGACAGTCCTGTTCTGTATCTGCTATCTGGAGGATGATCGTTTGAAACTTTCAGAGCCTGAGGACTCACAAGTGAAAATTGCCAGGTGGCACTCAGAGGACATTATGGGCCCCAGAACTCTGCAGGATTTGTATCTTGAGAGTCAACTGGAGAAAGTTTCTTAATATGGGCCTGGGCTTGGGGAAGAGTACTGAGTAAAAAGGATCAGCAGAGGTAAGGCAGAGCCTGTGGTTTTTCTCTTTTCAAAAGAGGACATTTAAACAGCTACCTATTAGGGGGTAAAATGGCACTTTTTAAATCACAATCCCCACAATCACCACCTGTGACTGACATCCTAGGTGAAAGTACCAGAGCGCATTTTGAAGCCTCACCCATCACACATCTTAGGTAGAGGGACGTGACTGTCACTTGAATTCACAGATGGGGCTGTGACTGATGCCAAATGGGTCACCAGTGAGTTGAGCAAGCAGGCCTCACGGGATGTAATTACGAGCACGACTTTGTGTGTGCCTCCCTTGCTCTCTCCACTTGCTCAGGGAGGGAGGTTCTTTTTTAAAAAATGTTATTGTTTTTATTTTATGTGTACACGTGTATTGCTTGCATGTAGGTAAGTGCACCCATGTCGTGCAATGCCCACAGAGGTCAGAAGAGGCTTTCGGATCCCCTGGGACTGGAGTTACGGACAGTTGTTAGCTGCCACATGGGTCCTGGGATTCGAACCCGGGTCTTCTGCAAAAACAACCAGTGTTCTTAACCGCTGAGCCATCTCTCCAGCTCCAGGGAGAGAGGTTCTGTCTCTACCTCCTGATCAAAGCTTAGGTACATCATGCCTCTCTGGTCACTCTCAGTTAATAAAATGTCCCAATCACAGAGGCTGAATTCAGAAGCACAAGTGTCAGTCCAAACTAGGAACTGGTGGGCTTCACCACTTGCCCCTCCCTGGGGAGGACTGGCTGTGGGCTTCACAGACAGCTTAAAGTCCCTCTTCCTCCCCCTCTCTCTGCTGCCTCTCCTCCCCGACCATGTTAGTAGGGGACTCTGCCCTCTCCCACAAGATTTGACATGGGGATTTGGAACAAGGAAGTGGGTTTTAAGAGTCTGGAGATGGTTTAGGGCAAATGTCTAGAATTTACACTTTATTCAATGACTACTTTTCTGAGTTTTACTGATGTAGTCTGAAACTTTCCTCGGGCAGCCTGCTCCCTCTTCAACCACAGCTCTGAACTCTGTGCACTCAACCCCCTCCTGTTTATTAGGGGTGAGTGTATCAGTTCCTTTTCTCACTGCTGTGACACTATGCCCAACAAATGGAACTTAAGGAAGCATTTATTGTGGCTCATAACTTAAGAAGGGATACAGACCATCATGGAGGAAAGGCACAGAAGCGGGACCAGGAGAGTGAGGATCCTTTTTCCCTGGCAAACTGGCCTGGTGAACAAGCTCCTACTAACACAATCCTCCCCTACCCTCTCAGGCCAACACTCATGTGCATGGCCTGCCTCCTGCCTCTGGAATACCTTACTTGTTTAGAATCACTCCTTCCTCACTGGCTGCAGCTGCAGGCAGTATAGGTGGGCTTCTCAAGTGATCCTCTTAGGGTCTGAGTATGCTTGGGTTCCAGTTAGGATTGGGAGCGAAGCTCTTCCTTCATCACCCTCATGTGCTGTAGGACTCGGTATAACTCCAAAGAAATCTTCCTTGCAGATTCTGCCTATCTTTCTCTCCCTCTTATTGAAAAATTTACATAGCATGTAAAATTAACATTTTTCCCTCAGTCTATGGTCCAGGCTGGCCTGGACTCAAAGAAATTCTCCTGCCTCAGCCTTCAGAGTACTGAAATTACAGGTGTGAGCTACCATGTGCAGCTTAAACTGTTTATTTTTTAAACATTTCTTTACATGGGAGGAGGGGGATGCTTATGCCATGACACACATGTGGAGGTCAAAGGACAACCTATGAGAATTATTTCTCTCCTCCTACTACTCCCAGGGATTGAACACAAGTCATCAGGTTTGGCTGCAAATGCCTTTACCCTCTGAGCCATAGTGCCATATTACCACCACCACCTTTTTCTCCTCCCCCTCCCTCCTCCTCCTCTTCCCTCTTCCTCCTCCTCTTCCTCCTTCTCCTCGTATTTCTCCTTTTCCTCCTTTCAACACTGGGGTGGAACCTAAGGCCTTATGCATGGTAAGCAAGTATTCTACTTGCATGTTAGTGATCTCTCTCTCTCTCTCTCTCTCTCTTTCTCTCTCTTTCCCCCCCTCCTCCTCCCTCTTCTTTTTGCTTTTTTTTCCTTTTTTTTGAGACAGCTGGCCTTGAACTCACTATGGAGACCAGGCTGCCTCAATTTCACAAAGATCTTCCTGCCTGTGCCCCCTGAGTGCTGGGATCAGAGGCGTGTACCACCATGCCAGGCCTCAAATTAACCATTTTTAAGTATGCAACCTAGTGGCATTCGTTAGAGTTCTCACTTGGCTCTTTCACCGCCTCCTTTGGTTTAGTTCAGCATGTGGTCTGGCCTCCCATTCTCAGTGCTTCCCTGCTATTATATCTGTGGCCTAGGCTGAAAGATCTAATTTGACACCTTTTGTACATAGGTGACATCTCTAGACTCTTATAGCATCCCTCTGAGGGGCACTGAGACAGGTGAAACGGCCTACTGATATGCTGGTTGTGGGTGGCAGAGCTAGGATTTGAGCACTGAGAAGTCTGTCCAGCAGCAACCTCAGAGTTGTAGCCATCCTGATGTGAAATGATGGCCACACTGGCCGCCTCCAGCGTGCTGTTCCTGGAACCCCACCCACCTGCCTCTATTTTCTAAGTCATTCTAGCAGCCCTGACATCTTCAGCAGGCCCTGAGGACCAGGCCTTATGAAAGTCATGTCAAGACAAGACAAAGCATCTGTGTCCCATTTCTGTGGATGAGCAGGCTTCCACTTGGCCTGAGCCTGGAACTTCTCCCGACACCTGCAGCAAGGAAGTCCTCCGTCAGTAGAGGTAGCCCTGCTGGGGCTGAAAGAGCAACATACAGCACTGGGTAATTGTGAGGAGATGGAGGCCCAAGTCTGTGCTCCCTGAGAGAGGCAGAAGTCAGTAGGCCATAAGCAGTAAGGCCTTGAGGCACCCCAGGTCACAGGCCTTCTGGTCCCTGGCTGCTGGGAGCCTCCCAGTGGGCTCTGAGGGTCTAGGATGGGTGGACCTAAAGCAGCATCCATCTGTCTGGAACTCTGAAGTTGGCAGAGGCCAGACATGGGCAGCCTGGACCCTGCCACTGTCGGCTCAGGCACTGTTCACAGAGAGTCACCTTGGACTTTTAACTAATATTCTTTCTTACCTTCTGTTTTTAGGGAACCCCAAAGGTGCGATGCTCACCCATGGGAACGTGGTGGCTGATTTCTCAGGCTTTCTGAAAGTGACAGAGGTGAATAAAGTCAACTTCCTATTCAGATGTGTCTTGAGGATAAACCTCAAGCCTTCCTGGTAGGGGTGTCCAACCTTTTGACATTGCAATATGCTGTCATCTATGAATGTGTCGGGCCGTATTCACAGCTACGTTGGACACATACAGCCGCTGGTCACAGGTTGGACACACTTACCTTAGAGGCATGTTCTGTTGTTGTTGTTTTAGGGTTTTAAATTTTGTTTCATTGTTTTCTCCTGATGTAATTTGGGCACCCCTCATAGGCAAGAGGTTTTGTTCTCAATAGAGCAATCCCACTTTTAGAGCCATTTTGAACCCCAAATACTCTCTTTTGGTTTTGACTCTGGGTTTTTGTTGTTGTTGTTGTTGTTGTTGTTGTTTAAATAATGTCTCATTTTATAGTGCAGGCTTCCTCCAAGACCCAGTCCTCCTGCTTTGGCCTCTCATGTTTTGGGATTATAGAAATGAGCCATCACACCAGCTTTCTTAAAAAAAAAAAAAAAAAAAAACGATAAATTTGCTTTTCATTTTTAAGTTAAAAAAATTAGTTTCCTTCATTCTTGTGTATGTATTTTTATTTAGTTTAAGTGAGCCTTGATAACTTGTCTTTCAAGCAGGCCAGGGTTTAATCCAGTTATTTGGTGTTTAAGGACTACTAGAGTCAGAAATAGTGGCAGCTGCTAATTTATAAGACTGTACTTAAAGGTAGATGTAAAGGCTAGAAAGCTTGAGATCTTGGTCTGACAAAAAGCATGTTAGTGTGTATAACTAAGAAAGGAGGGCCTGTCCCAGGAACGGTGAGTATATTCTGCAGCTCCCTCCAGGAGGAAGAGAGCCAGGCTTTTTCTCCACCACCGAGACAGTGCCTTTCCACATACATGCCATGTGGCACTGTGGAGCATATACTCCAAACACTCAGGTGCTTTGGTAGAATACTGTGAGGGATGGTTAGGAGCCATGAGCCAGGATCCCAGAGTTTATCCAACTTGGTCCAAAAGACAATGAAGAGATTGAGGAGCTCTATGACAAGTCAGAGGGCAGACAGGTCGTATGAAGGAAGTCCCCATCCTTTGCTGGCCAGAATAACCCCTGTCCCTGGGATAGGTCCCATCTGGGAAATGTGAGTTGATGTTCTGCCCGTGTGTTCCCCTTTAAGGGCCTATCCCCAGCTGTGACTTGGGAGGCAGTATCTAGCCACCTGTTTCTGACTTGGCCTTGTCTCCTCCTCTGTCACAGGCTCATAACCCAGCCACAGTTGGCATAGACATAGACCTGGGGCCCTTTTCTCTGGAACAAGGCCTATTAAGTGCCAACAAGCCAAGACCCTCTGAAGCTCTGCTCAGGTGGCCCAGGGGAACTGGGACAGATACTACAGGAAGGGTGGGGTGGGGAGAGAGCCAGGCTGTCAGCAAGGGACCGTGACGTGCAGGCCGTCCTGAGAGGAGACTTCACTGCGGAGCCTGGCTCTGCTGGTTTATATGTGCTTCATGCAGCTCTTTGCTTCTGCAGATTAACCTACACCACTGGCGCTGCGACCTAACACTCCGCTTCCTATGCTGCCTCTCTCTCTCTCTCTCTCTCTCTCTCTCTTGTTAGAGATGGAACAAGGGTGTGACAGCCTTCAAGTCTCAGATGGGCTCCCTCCCTCCCCCATTCCTACTTCCCCACCTCCTCTTTCTCATCATTTTCTCCTCTCATCTCACCTCTCTCTGTCTTCACCTTCCCCTCTTCCTGTCTGCCCCCTCCCCCCATCCCCCCACCAGGACCATTTTTCTCTTTATTGTTTTATGACTCTCTTGTTGTCTTCCTGTCAGTGTTTCTTTCCTTTCTGTCTCCCATGCCCGTCACCTGCAGAAAGTGATCTTTCCGAGACAGGACGATGTGCTCATCTCCTTCCTGCCTCTGGCTCACATGTTTGAGAGAGTGATCCAGGTAAGACACCTGCCTGGCTGACTGGGACTTGCCTGGGCTCCTTGTGTTTTCTTGCAGAGTCAGTGGGCTCCCACTTGTACGGATGTGCACTTTTCCTATTTGCCTTTAGCACACATGTTTGAGCGAATGGTACAGGTAAGGCCCTGGCATCAGGGAGGCACCATGTGTGCCTAAAACCTACAACTCCAGCAGGCTGTCACTTGTCACTGGTGGTACAAACCAGGACCAAAACACCCTATCCTCAGAGGGTAGCACAAGGGGCCAAAGGGACCCTAGGACCATGGCCACCCGACCTGGCTCTCCTAGGAGCACTGCTTCAGGGAACACCCCAGACCAGCCTGTCTTGCTCACAGACATACCTCAGGTGTTAAGAGCATTGCAGATTTGCTTTGCCACCCAGGCTCTGTGCAGCACTTGACAACTAGCATGCTTCTGTTTTATAACTCCCGTAACTCACAAACACCTGGAAGAGAGAAGACAGCAGTAAAGTTGCATCAAACTGTCATGGCTCCTAGGCTGCAGATAGGGACTGACATGAGATTGGCCCTAAGACTAGTCTTGTGGAAGTACAGAAAGAGTGAAAGACTCTATAAATGACAGGGAGCCAAAGAACTCACCACTCAAAGGACCAGCCTGCAAATAAACTACCTTTTAAGTCTGTTTCCATTTGCCTTGGGGGGAGATCTGGTACCATAGGGCTTGCCTTCCAGCTTTCCAGACCTGGATTAGAATGCCAACTGTTGCTACCACTGGGCAAGTCACATTTGTGTTTCTGAGCTTTGCATTCTTCACCTGCAAATGTGGTGCTAGAAATACAACCTTCCTTAAAGGGTTGCCCTGGGCGTTAAAGAACGGAACACCTATTAGTCTTTCATGAGCCCCATTGGAGCCAGCCAGGATCCCCTGGTCTCCCACCAACTTTAGTATCTGAGGGGACAGCATATTGTGCCACAGTTGCAGAGATGTCTGGGAAATCCACAGCCTCTCTAGGACCTGGAGCAGACTCATAAATAGAGTATGACGTCTCACAGAGGAGGCTTATGACCAGGGTTGAGAGTAGATGTGAGGGGCATGCACCAGTGAGAACTGCCAGTTCGCATCACTGCACTTAGTCTCCCACTTCTCCCTAGGCCTGACTGGGGCTTAGTGTAACAGTTCTGGGTGGGGTAGGGTCACTGAGATAACATTCTTTAGTGTCCCGTGGCAGCAGCCAGAGCCAGATTGGGGGTCCTGGGTATTCTCCGTAGAGAGCAGAACTATGGATAGCTCTGGCCTCCAGCCAGAAATGACCACCTCAAGTAACTCCTACCCTCCTGTTCTCTCCCTTCAGTCCGTTGTCTACTGCCACGGAGGCCGCGTGGGCTTCTTCCAGGGAGACATTCGCCTCCTCTCAGACGACATGAAGGCTCTGCGCCCCACCATCTTCCCTGTGGTCCCACGGCTACTGAACCGGATGTATGACAAGGTGAGTCTCACAGACTGTGGGGCTTCATATCTGCCAGTGGGCAGAATCTCAAGTCCCAGACAGGCAGGCTTTCCACAGCTCCGACCCGGATCTGCAGCGTTGCCTCCTTTTTCCATCCCGACTCGCCCCTCTTCCGTCTCCTGCTAGTCTCCAAAACCCTGGCTGGGGAGACTACCTTCCTTTCCTTTCTGTGCCCAGCCCAGCCCTTGATAATGTTCACCTTCAGCTTGGTGACACATTCAGTGATCTCATGCAGGATTACACTGGAGCATAGCTCCTCTGCTGGCCAGTCTGGGCCTCTTCCTGGAGGCCATGCCTAGAAGAACAATAGTCAGGCTCTGACAGCTGTCTCCAACTTGTGTTCTTCAGATCTTCTACCAGGCAGACACATCATTAAAGCGCTGGCTCCTAGAGTTTGCAGCAAGGCGCAAGCAGGCTGAGGTCCGCAGTGGAATCATCAGGAATAATAGTATCTGGGATGAACTCTTCTTTAATAAGATCCAGGTAAAACAATGAGTATGTGACATCTGTAGCCAGTAAGTGGCCTCATGGGACAGCAAGAAAATATCATCCCAGTGTTCTGTTAAACTGGAAAAACATGAATCTTTTGCTCATTGAAATCAAAGCTTAAGCTGCTATTGGAATTCTAAAGCCACCATTTTTTTTCTTAATTTTTGAAGACGTGTTATAGTTGCCAAAAGGCAAGAGGCAAGACAGACCCTTTAGTGGCCGCTGGTAGGTCGACCCTGCTCCGGTGGATGGCCTCACACAGGCCATATATGGGCACTGGACTCAGTGGGGTATTAAAAGAAAAGAGGACAGGAAGTTGGGAGGGGATGGAGGTGTTGTGGGGTCGATCCAGGAAGAGTGGAGAGGAAGAAATGCTGAGTGAATATGATCTAAATACATTGTGTGCATGTATGGAGTTCTCAAAGAATTGATAAAAACATGTATTAATTATAAATATTACATGTATGAAGGACCTTAGAATATAGGTCCTTTGACCACCACTGGATCAGGGCACCTTTACCTGCTTGGGTGGTCAGGTCTTTACTCCACAAAGATGCTCCTGGGCCTGAGGTCTTGGTGCTCCTCTTGCCCCGCCCTGTAACCCTGGCCACAGTGGCTTTTCAGCTGCACCAGGCTCTCTCCAGGTGGCCAGAAATCTTTTTCTTTCTGTTCCTTCAGCCTCTCCCAAAGCAGGCTGATGTTTCTGGAACCCACTACAGTCTTCAAGTTCTGTGTTACCCAAGGAATCTATATTAGTAGCATTACTCATTTTTTTTCCTTGCTGCTCTATATTTAGCCATGAAAATTAATATTTAAACTCTCTTGGCTCAACTTACAGAAACAAAGTGTTTTAAGTATCCTTTGTCCTCTGCAGAGCATAGTAAATAAAGCATGGTATTGATTTATACATGAAAAAAGGCAATGCCATTAAAATGGAAGTTGGAAGAAATTGTCCTAAGTAATTGTTTTAGAGGCCTGTGAGTGATGGGGGAGTGAGGGAGCAGTTACTTATTTTAAGGAGGGAGAAGCGTGTCATTGTAGAATGCCACACACACTAATGGCACTTAGCTCAGAAGGATGGGAGACTTGGTTGTATTGTGGGTTAAGGTGCAGACTGATCAAATTTATTATTCGGAAGGGGAAGGGACCTCCTCAGCATGTAGCCTTCTTTCCGAGCTGAGTCCCAGAATCCAGAGTCCAGTTGTTGGATATTGACCTTAAATGGGAACCATCTCAGGTGTCACAAGCGTTGATGGCTTCTCTCTTCTCACAGGCCAGTCTTGGAGGGCATGTGAGGATGATTGTTACTGGAGCAGCCCCTGCCTCACCAACAGTCCTGGGATTCCTCCGAGCAGCTCTGGGGTGTCAGGTACTGTCTGCATGACCTTCCTCAGGGGTGTTGGGGTGTGCGATAGGCAGTAAAGTTGGTATACCCTCTACTGCAGAGGAAGATCCTGTGGGCAAGACTTTCATTCCAAGTGTAAGGAAAGCACAGAGTCATAGAAAGCTAAAATGACTGACCTTGCCACATGCTGGGAGCTCCAGCTGTACCCACATTCAGAGATTGCTTGAAAGATTTTAGCAAAGGGAAAAGGGATCAGATGAACTATGAACTTATCCATAGTTTACCAGAGTGTCTATATTGTACCTGTCCTGCCTCCTTGCACTCTGTAGTCTTTAAAACATTTCTCAACTCAGAGATGGAGCACCAGGGAGAGCAGAAGAGCTCATCCATGTGCTGCTATTTGATTATCTTCAAAAAGTCTGTTCCTTTGTTTATCCATTCAATTTATCAAGTTCCTGCAGGAGCGGGATATTGTGACATGGCAAATGGGCTTCAAGGAAAATAAACATATGTGTTTCAAAATGGTGATGCTTATATTTTTGTGCTTTAGATGCCTCAAACTTCAGGGTCTAGAGGGGAGCGTTGTACAAAGATAAAACTAGGCATATAGTAGATTTAGAAATACTTACCTTTAAGCCAGGCGTGGTGGCACACGCCTTTAATCCCAGCACTTGGGAGGCAGAGGCAGGTGATCTCTGTGAGCTCCAGGCCAGCCTGGTCTACATAGTGAGTTCCAGGAGAGCTGGGGCTACAAGGAGACCCTGTCTCAAAAAGACCAAAAAAAAAAAGGAAATGCTTACCTTTAATATATGTTATTAAAATGAAAATAGAGCCAGTGGTTGAGATTTGATCAGAAACCTTTGTCCCAAACAACATAACCTGATATGCTAAGTACCAGCAACATGGCCCTGATGTGTTCAGCTCCACCTGAGTTGGCAACCCCAGAACACCTTGCCTCCCACCATCTTCACCTGGGAACAGCAGAGGGTCAGTGGAAGGCAAGCTGGTCAAGAAGCGCAGCCAACTGGCTCTGGGACAGTGTGGCCCACAGCATGGTATCTCTGTTTTGCTTGAAGGTCTATGAAGGTTACGGACAAACTGAATGCACAGCAGGGTGCACTTTCACGACACCAGGGGACTGGACCTCAGGTAGGACAGACTGCAAGAGTGGGGATGGCTTGCAGGCCACTCCAAATCAAATCTGCCGACTCTCAGATTCCCTTCTGGAAAGAAAATTTGCACAGGCACTTAGGGAAAAAAGTAAAAGAAACAGAAAAAATAATTAATGAATGGTAGGTCTGGTTTGTAATTATGGATGATGTTTTCTTATAATTCTTGTACCTTCCTTTTTTGTTTTTGTTTTTTTGTTTATTTGTTTGTTTTTGAGATGGGGTCTCCCTGTATACAGCCCCAGATGGCCTGGAATTTGATCAGGCTGGACTCAATCTGGACTTAATCCCAGCCTGCCAAGGATTGGGATTAAAAGCATGCACCACCCTGTCCAGCATACCTTCCTTTTTTATTATCCCTATTTTTATTTTTCAGATGTATTTATATTTTGTGTATGTAAGTATTTGCCTACATGTATGTGCATCACATGCATGCCTGGTGCCCTTGGAGACCAGAAGAATGTGTTAGATCATCTAGAACTGGAGTTATAGATGGTTATGATCTGCTGTGTGAGTGCTGAGAACTGAACCCAGGTCCTTTGCTCTTAACCACTGAACCATCTCTTAGGCCCCGTTTTTATTTTTTTTTTAAGTTTTAAAATTACATTTATTTGCTCTGTGTGTGTGTGTGTGTGTGTGTGTGTGTGTATGCGCACAACCATGAGTAAGCCTATGAATGAATATATGTGAGTGTTTGCATGCCATGGCACATGTAGAGGTCAGACAATTTTCAGGAGTTGGTCCTTGGTTCCAGGGATCAAACCCAGGTTGTCATGCTTGGTGGCAAGCTCCTTTGCTCATTGAGTCATCTCACTGTCCCCCTTTCTTCATGAACAAATAGAAATTATGAAAAAAAAACCACAAGATAGAATTCCATGTGTTTATAGTAGCAGCACACTCAACTTGAGAGTTTAAAACTCTAAGAAGACACACTGCCTTGCTTACAGCTATTTTAAAACTGGTTTTGTTTTGTTTGTTTTTTTTGAGACAGGGCCTCCCTGTAACCCCAGCTGGCCTGGAGCTCACTGTGTAGATCAGGCTTACCTTGAACTCACAGAGATCTGGCCTGCCTGTGTCTCCTGAGTGCTGGGATTAAAGGCGTGCACCACCATGCCCAGCAAAAACCGCTTTTTTAGAGCAAAAGAAGCAGGCTGTGAGCTGCATGCGACTTTAACAGACCAGCAGATCCATAGTGTTCTGAGAGTTTGTTAAAGGGCATTTCAGAGACTCTTGGGAACTGTGGGCTCTTGTGGTTTGAGCATCTAGAAGGCACTGGCTCCTCACAAAGGAGCAGGCCCAGGCACACTTTCATTCTGAGGCAGTTCCTCCTTCCAGGCATGCAGAAGTCTGTAGTAGTTAGCCCAAGGATCATCCCTCACCAGATTCAGACCAGACACTGCACAAATCTGGAAAACACTGAGCAAGAGGATTCTTCAGATTCCAACTCCCTCCTGGGAGCCTAGGCCATTGTTTGTGCTTAAGCTTGCTCAACTGCAAACTGGAAATTTTAGAATGATGTGCATGCAAAAAAAAATATGCTAGTGAATGCAATAGTATTTTCAGAGCATCTTGACACACACTAGGTGAAACCTAAATTGAAATTGCATTTGACATGGAGCTGGGTTTCTTTCTTTTTTTGTGAACCTCTCTTTCTCTCTCTCTCTCTCTTTTTCTTTTTTCTTTTTTTGTTTTGAGACAGGGTCTCCCTGTAGACCAGGCTAGCCTTGAACTCAGAGATCTGCCTGCCTCTGTCTCCCAAGGGTACCACACCCGGCTATGAACCTATCTCTTTAAACTCAAGTTGGATAAGGGCTGTTTTATATAAACTCTTAGGCCTTTCTCCCTCTGCCAGACGTCCTTCACAATCTATCTTTGGAAATCCTACTCACTAATTAAAAAATAAATAAATAATGATATATTATTTTTACATTACATCTTTTATATTATTTTTACTATTTTTTTAAAAGTAAAGATGTGTGGGTATGTGCATGTGAGTGTGGGTACCCACAAAGGTCAGATCCCCTGTGCCTGGAGTTACAGGAAGTTGTAAGCCATCCAACATGGGGATCTCTGCAACAGCAGCAAGCATTCTTAACTGCTGAGACATCTCTCCAGCCTCTACTTTTTTCTTATTATTGCCATGACATTGAGTATCATTCTCATGAATCTTACGCCTTTTGGATACTTTCCTTCTTACCTTTAAATTTTTTTAAATTATATTCCTTTTATTTGTGTGTCATGTCACACATGTGGAGGTCAGAGGACAGCTTGAAGGAATCAGTTGTCTCCTATGAGATCAAACCCAGGTTGTCAGACTTGTTGGCAGGCCCCTTTACCCACTGAGCCATCTCAACAGCCCCTCTCCCTATCTCTTATGTCATTTTACATTTTCCTATGTGAAACTGTTGAATTTTTGTTGATCACTATTGTAAAACCTAGGGTTCTATCGAATGTGAGAGGACTGATATCTTTGTACAGTATTGTAAAAGCATTGCAGGATATCTTCTAAAAGAGAAGCCCAAGTGCCACAGCCTTCTTTTTCCTACACATACCTATGGCACTTTGTTTCAGGACCTTGGTCAGCACCCGCTTGAAAACCCTAAGTGAGGTAACAACCACCATGCTAGAACATAACAGGATTTTGTGACTGGAGACTTGGAATGTGATTTTTTTTTTTTTTTTTTTTTTTGCAGGGACGAATTACCTCATCCCAGTTTTCTGTTCTTTCCTACTCTAAGTATAGTGTGTAGGCCAACAGCATCAATATCACCTTGGCACCTACAAGAAATGTAGGAGTTTCATGCCTCATTCCCAAGCCTACTGAGTTCAAATCTGCAATGTAAAAAGGTTTCTAGGCCATTTATTTATACACTAGTCAATAGCCTGACTAGAGGAAAAGAAATGATGTTGCATTCTACAATCCCCAGAACAAGAGTGGTACTCTGACAGTAGGGAAATGTTTTGTTTTGTTCTTGGTTTTGTTCTGTTTTGAGATACGGTCTCATGTATCCCAAACTGGCCTTGATTTCCTGATCCTCCTGTCTCTACTGAATGCTAGGATTATCGATGTGTACCACCATGTTTAACTGGGAAAATGTTTTGATGTAGGCACTATTGTAAAAACTCCTGATCATGTGGTTGGTGAACATGAGACTCCTACCTCACCCAAGGTCCACATGTAGGTTTTGTGCTAGGCCAGGTGTACCTGTCTTGATTGTTAACCTTAGCCTTTAACAGCTGCGACCCCTTCAGCCAGTCTTGATTTTTAAAAAGCAAATATAAGGACTAGAGAGATGGCTCCATGGGTAAAGGCACTTGCTACCAAGCCTGATGATCCCTGGGATCCACATGGTGGAAAGAAAGAACTGACTCCCCCAAGTTGTCCTCTGGCCTCTATACATGCACATAATAGATAGACAGGTGGACAGATAGATTATTTTAAAAAAAAGAAGAAGAAGAATGAAATGTAAGCGAGGGATAGTGGTGCCCTTCTGTAATCACAGGACTAGAGAGGCTGATTTGTGGGCAGCCTGGGCTTTATAGCAAATTCCAGGGCAGTCTGGGCTGCTCAGAGAACCCTGTCTCAAAACACCTATCTAATAAAAATAAAAATTAAACATAAAGAGAAGGTTGGCTTTTGCTTTCTCTAGACCTTAGTTCTGTTATCAGTACATTAGTACCTGCTTGTGACACATGCCTATGTAAAGATGCATTTTCTTTAGAGTCACAACTCCCCTCTTTAACCTGCTTGGAGGTCTTGTTGCTGTTCTTATGGTTTTTGGTTTTGTTTGAGGGTCTCCTACAGCTCAGGCTAGCCTCCCTCTACTCACTAATAGCCAAGGATGACCTTCAACTTCTGATCCTTCTGCCTCCACCTCACAAGTTGTGAAATTACAGGCATGCCTAACCATGCCAGGCTACTTGGGGGTTCTGTGGGGTGTAGAGCGTTATCAGTGCTGAAGTATATGTGAACAGTAACAGGTGTCATCTGATGTTCTAGGGCACGTAGGGGCACCATTGCCCTGCAATCATATCAAACTCATTGATGTGGAGGAACTCAACTACTGGACCCACAAAGGAGAGGGAGAGGTAAGCTTAGGGTGTGTCTGCTCATGTCTATGCATGCCACATGTAACAAATGACAGCAGCATGGAACCCTTTTCTCCTCATCTGCTCAAAAGTCAGTTTACATTATCCCTATACTTGATTCAACCAACTCTCAATGCTGAGACTGAGTGGTCTACATCAAAATTTTTTAATTTCCAAACTTTAAAAGAAAAAAAATCCATATTATTATCCTAATGATGGCATGGCTTGCTGCAGTATCACATGACCACGTTGAAATAGTCCAGATGGAGTCAGCAGAGCTGGGCTATATGTGCTCGGACCTTAGGAGCTGGTGGAGAGACGGGCTGCCTGGCAATGAGGGGGGCAGTGAGGGAAGTGTGTTATCTGTGATGAGATCCAGTGGAGTCTCACAACACAGCATGAGCCCAAAGCCATGCCCTCCTGAGGGAGACAGTAGGGGGTGAAGGCAGGACACACACTACTTCAGAGAAGGGGATAGTTCGAAGAGCAGAACAGTAGGAAGGTGCTTCATGTCCTTTAGTTATGTCATGGTTTCACACTTTTTCTGGTGGATAGTAGACCTCATTCTCCACACGCCTGGTGACAGCCTGCCACTGTTGTATCGCTCACTCTGTAACTAAGCAAAATCATGACATTTGTCCCCACAGATATGTGTGAAAGGACCAAATGTGTTTAAAGGCTACTTAAAAGACAAGGACAGGACAAAGGAGGCCTTGGACAGCGACGGCTGGCTTCACACTGGAGACATTGGGAAATGGCTGCCGGTATGTAAGTTGGGAGGCTGGTGCTCCACGTGCTGTGGCCATGAGTGGTGTGTGATCTGCCTCACTGGCAGTTACTCAGCAACAGCTCTAGGGATTGGGAGCTTCTTCCTTACCTGGTCTCGAGCTTCCTCCCCTTCATCCTACTGAAGGTGACAAGTGACTTCTGTGGAGGCTAGAGCTGGACTCTTGAACTAACTTCCTGTCCTTCATGGACTCCAGAAATAGTGCTCCTGGGCCGATCTGAGAAGGCCGTGGATGCTGCCTCCCAGCTGAGAGACGGTACCAGATGGAGGGAAATCCTTGGGGTTGATGGAGGAGGGATGCTGGATAGCCCAGGCTGGCCTTATTAAATGTGCTGTGGTCCTCCTGCCTCAGCCTCCCAAGTGCTGACATTACAGTCATATACCACCATGCCTGGCTTCTATATTATTTTTCACTTAAAAAAGGGCCTCTGCCAGGCATAGTGGCTCCTGCTGTTAATTCCAGCACTCCTGAGGCAGAGGCAGGCATATCTCTGTGAGATTGAGGTCATCCTGGTCTATCTGGTCTACATAGACAGTTTCAGGCCAGTTGGGGCTACAGGAAGACCCTGTCACAAAAAAAGACCAAAAAATAAAAATAAAAAAAGGAAAGGGCCTTAGACCTGTAAATGCTCAAACCTGAAGCCTTGAACTTGAATGCATGAATGAAGCCACCGGCCATTCGGGGGTGTGGTAAGAAGTGAGTGAATGAGTTCCTGTTGAGCAGCTGGTGTGCTCAGTCACAGAGCCTCAAGCAGCTATTGGCAGCCTGCTGAGTCTGTATCAAGAGTTATTACCAGCCAGGCGTGGTGGCGCACACCTTTAATCCCAGCACTCAGGAGGCAGAGGCAGGTGCAGCTCTGTGAGTTCAAGGCCAGCCTGGTCTACATAATGAGTTCTAGGCCAGCTGGGGCTACAGGGAGACCCTGTCTCAAAAAGTTATTACCATTTCTAAATAAGTGCTGGATTTTAATTTAAATTCTTATTACAATGATTGAAGTGTTTATTCTTTTGATATTTCTCATGTCAGACTGATTATGCATTCCTGGCAGAAGTCCATCTTAGCTATGCTGTGCGGTTTTTTTTATTTCTTTTGGTTGTCTTTGGCCTTTTATCTCTATTTATAACCCAGCTTGATCTGTGATTTTCCTTTTATATACAACTCTGATTTTGGTGTCAACTTATTTGAATGAGTTGGTGAGTGGTATTTGGGGGGGGGTCTGGTTTCTTTCCTCCCTGTTTTCTGGAAGACTGTGTGCTCAGTTTAAATGATCGTATTTAAAGATATTTGTGCTTTCAAATCAGTATTGTTTTATAGTACTAAATCAAGGAGAAGGTATAGTCTTTAATCTAGAACATCCTGAATTTCAGTCAGAATCCCGTTTCCTAGCTGTGTGGCTGCTGGAGGAGTTAACTAACTTCTCCGACCTTCACTTTCATCATTTCTGGGACAGAGGTAGTAACAGCCAGTTAGCGGGGTAGTTCAAGGAAGGCACAGGGTATCCCCTCAGTTTTGAGGAAAACGGGCCTGCTTGTTTTTTCTTTCCTGGAGAGGTTGTTCTGGCTCTGGTGGATCACAGAGTTGGAGTAGGGACAGAGTGTACACAGGAGTCTGCTCAGGATGTAGTTTCCATGGGAGGAGGTGGTGGTGGATCAGAGAAGCGTCTGTGAATAAGGAGAGATGGCATGAGTGCTAGAGATCCCCGCCCCCAGGCAGCGGGACGAGGGCCCCAGGCTGGCACAGTCTTGAGCAAAATGATGCCCAGGAGCCTCATTGGGAGTGAGCTGGGAATTAGAGGACAAGGCAGCTGGGCTTCCACAGCCTGATGATCTAGTTTAGTTTAAACTAGTTTAAACTAACTGATCTAGTTTGGTTTAAACTGGTCTTACAAAGACTTACCAAAAGCAATTTGGTTTGTTTGGCTTACAGGTTACAGTTCGTCATTGAGGGCAGCCATCACACTGACCATGGCAGGAGCATGAAGCAGAAACTGCTTATTAGCTTGCTTCCCCTGGCCTGCTCAACTGTCTTTCTTTTTCAAATTTATTATTTTTATTTTATGTGTATGAGTGTATTGCCTGTACCTATGTATGTGCACCCGTGTTGTGCAGTGCCCACAGAGGTCAAAAGAACGTCAAATTCCCCTGGAACTGAATTTATAGATGGTCGTTAGCTGCCATGTGGGTGCTGAGAATTGAGCCTGGGTCCTCTGCTGAGCCACCTCTTCAGCACCTCAACTACCTTTCTTATACAGCAAAGGCCCACCTATCCAGGGACAGGACTACCTACAGTGGGCTGGGCCCACCTACATCAGTTAGCAATCAAGAAAATCACCCACAGACATGGCCACAGGCCAGTCTGATGGAAGAAATTCCTCAGTCGAGGTTCCTTCTTCCCAGGTGTGTCAGATTGACAACCAAGATTAGCATCACACTGAGGTCTGTGAGCTGATGGAAGTCTGACCAGCAATTTAGGCAGATGGAAGTGGTTACCCAACAACCCTGTTGTGTTGTTCCCAGAAAGTACAATATTCAAGAGTTGGATTAAAGGAGAGAGGCCCTTCAATCACCCCAGAAACTCAAGAGGGTCCAGGGGTCAGGGAGGTGGGCAGGGGTCCTGGAGGCTTTCCACTTCCCTGCGAGTGGACAATGAAGGAGGGGCCCGGGCTCTTAGCACCATCTGGCTGCTGGGTGGAAGTCACCTGCTGTCTGGGGAATATGTGTTGTCTGTCAGGGGATGGAGCAGGCACTCTGGAGTTGGGGCAGTAGCTGGAACCCTAGTGAGGTAAATCTGCAGTTGCTAATGAGGAAAGGGGCAGCTAGAGCTCCAGCCAGAACAGGGGAACCCTGATGGGGTGGAGGGGAGTCTGATGCTGGGGTGAGGAGGGCCTGGTGGGGCAGGTACAGAAGAAGCTGGTGCTCAGGGCCCAGTGGAGCTAACACTTCATCCCCCTCTGTGGGAGGTGATGGCTCCCTCAGGCCACACAGCCTGACTCCGAGAGGAGCAGCATGTGCTGGGGGTGTGCATGGTGGGGAAGGCAGGGTGTGAGCTGAGGAGTTGGTGCTCCAGCTTGGGGCTGGGGGTACCATCTTCTTAAAAAGCTGTCTGTGCAACTCCACAGGAGGGAACTCTTAAAATCATCGATCGGAAAAAGCACATATTTAAACTTGCTCAGGGAGAATACGTTGCACCGGAGAAGATTGAGAACATCTATATACGGAGCGAGCCTGTGGCGCAAGTCTATGTCCATGGAGACAGCTTAAAGGTGAGGCCCGGGGCTTCGGCCCTGCTGCACATACCGGCCTGCAGAAGAATCCAGATTAAATATTGATTTCTGACCAACCACCAGGATTCACCCACACATTTCAAATCACAGGAAAAAATTCCTCTCCAAAGAAGAAATGGGGTTGGATGTAGCTTGGGGGTAGCATGCTTATCTAGCACTCAGAAACCCTGGGTTCCGTGCTCAGCACCACATAAAACCAAGTATGGTGGCACATACCTGTAATCCCAGCACTCAGAAGGTAGCGCCAAGATCATGAGTAAAGGAAAAATACAGAAGAAATCTTAATTACTTAGGATTTGGTAAATTGCATTTATGGCAAATAAATTGCTTGGAGTCACTAATAAATATAACCACTGCTTTTAATATATGTTCAAAGCTGGGTGTGGTGACACAAGCCTTTAATTCAAGGCCAGCCTGGTCTACATGGTGAGTTCCAGGCCAGTTGGGGCTACAGGGAGACCCTGTCTCAAAAAGACCAAAAAAAAAAAAAAAATTATACACACGCACACACACACACACACACACACACACACACACACACACACGTTCAAAAGGAGAATTTTTGAGGTAAGATTTTAAGTAAAAGTTTAGTATTTCTGCACTTATGAACTTACTATTTGTTGTTGTGCTGTGGAATTAAACCCAGGGCATTACTGCATGCTAATCAAGCACACTACCCACTACAGCCCTGCTGTTTGGATTTTTTTTTAATTTTTATTTTATGTGTATGAATGTTATGCCTGCATGTATGCAAGTACACTGGTGTCATGCAGAGCCTTCAGAGGACAGAAGAGGACATCAGATCCTCTGGAACAGGAGTTACAGTCGGTTGTTAGCCACCATGTGAGTGCTGGGAATCGAACCTGGGTCCTCTGTAAGAGCAGCCAGTGCTCTTAACC